CATAATTAAACAATAAAAATAGTAAAAGTAGTATGTTAATCAATATTTTATTATTCATAAAAAAGTTGTATCCGTAGTGTAGATTTATAATTCACATTGGTTGTTAACATCAATTAAACGTTTCTTAGCAACGGTTTGATACTGATAAAATGGACCAAAACTGCCTTTTGTACGAATTTATTTTTATAAAAAATAAAACTGTACCTGATGGGGCCAATAGTATAAAAGTTTTTTATCATAGTTGCTATTATTTATAAACTGATGCCTATTACATACAACCGCGGGAACGTAAGTAACATCAACGATAATTATTATATAGATTACTTTTACATAAGTGTCATAAAGTCGTAGTACCTAATAAAGTTGGTATCAGTAATAATTACACATATTGTGCTAATATTTTGAATACGTATAGGTGCGAAAAATAGCTTTTCGCACAAGGGGTCGATCGGCTCATTCCCTCGATGCAGGCGGGCCGAGAGTAGACGCAGGTTCAACGGGCGATGGCCGACAGTTTTTGCAAATTCGACCAGCACTCGCAGACCCTAGAGCTACATTTACACGTTCACACACTTTACTTACAGGGTAAGTGACAACAAAATGTTATATATTATGTATTCTCGTTTACGTATACCTACAGTTTTCGTGTGCCTGCAAAAAAACTTAATAGCAACTCATTATTTAACATCACACACGTCACAACTTGTTAAAAGTTGATGATCGTAATAAAGCTGCAAACTATATACGGGTGCCAAACTGCGAAAATAACTAAAATGTAGACCAATTTTTTATTTGGAAAATAACTCTTGATCGCAAGTGTAGTAGTAGTAGGTAGGTATTAAAAAAGGAACTCGACCTTTTTTTTTAAGAAAAGTGACCTATAGTCAACTTGTTTAGTTCTTACTTAATTAAATGTAAACAATCTAATTCGTCTTTTTATTGAAACATATACTTTACAAATCAATAGGTATAACATTGGGCATGGATATTTGATATGAAGCTAAGTATATGTATTTTGTATTTAAAGGTAAGTAAAAATCATTTTATAAATGTATATTTCATTAAATAGACATCTCAAGATTGTTTACATTCAGTTAAGTACCTAAACAAATGGACTATAGACCTGTTTATTATTCCAATAAATTTTCGTTTTAAGCATGACGTTGTTTCCAGTAATGATTATGCACCAAAAGACGATGGTCGAGAGGAACCCATTAATCTGCAAGCTGTGGGCGAAGGTAGAGTTCAGTTGTTTCGGACACCACAGGAAAAAGATAGACTACCAGACAGAATCAGCCTTGACAGGTATGTCTAATGTACAATCAATATTGATAATACCAGATGAAACGGGATTCGGTTACCCTTTTATCGTTTAAGAGCATGGTGTCGTATAAAGTATACTATGCCTTATTTAAATTCGAATTTTAATTGTTAAAAAATATTATTACATTTTAAATTTTTATTGAATTGATATTCAAATATTTTTTGTGAAATTACTCAACTAGTTTGTTGTAATCATTAATACAAAGATCGAACACTCAGAAAAAATTCCTTCGATCCGGTCGGATCGAACCGACGTCTTCTTGTTATTATGAATATTATTACAATTAAAATATTATATTAATCGTGTTTCCTTTTGAATTAATTTCTACATTTGTAGTAAGTTATACTGCAGCACTTCCAATTTTAAATTACATAAATATGATAGTATCTATAATTTGTTATAATTGTAATATATTTTTACAATTCTAGGCGAGGTCTGTCCTCAATTCCTCATATTGTAGCAGAGCCAGGATTGAGACTATTATCACTGCAACACAATTTAATCAATAGTTTGTCAGGGTTGTCACCGCTCGATCTCGGAAAACTAGTGTTTTTAGATGTCTATGACAATCAGATGGATAAAATTACATCTCTCGAGAGGTTATTTAGTCTCAGAGTGCTATTGATGGGCAAAAACAGGTAACATGAATAATTTTACAACAGGATAGGCTTTACGTCACATAAATGTTCACAATTGGCAAGCTTTATGTAACATACGTTATTCAAAAATATATTTCGAAATTAAAAATAAAGAATTAATTTATAAACATAAATGAATTACGACACTTCATTAATTATCTATTGGTTTTCAGAATTAAAAGAATAGAAGGCTTGTCAAACCTCATAAAGTTAGAAGTGTTGGATTTGCATGGGAACAGAATCAGCAAAGTGGGTGGTTTATCTAATCTAAGTGAACTCAAGGTGCTCAATTTAGCTGGGAATCAAATAAAATGTATAGGACAGACTGATATCCAAGGTCTAGTATCTCTAAGGGAGCTAAATCTAAAGAGGAATCGACTGAGAAAATTAATGGGATTCCAACATACACCAAAATTACAAAAACTATACCTTGGTAACAATGACTTGCAAAGGTAAGTAAGTACCTACTTGTTTTATAAAAAAAAAGTTTGGTTACCTATGTGTTATAAATCAGTTTAGTGTAATAAAAAAAATGTTGTATTATATTCATTGACTTGGAGTCACCACACGTATTAACGCGGAATCGGCTTAAGCCATCGAGAAAAAGCATTTGTGTCCATGCAATAAGAGGAAAAAGACGTTTGGCGTTTCGCTTCCGCTTGCGCCGCCTAAGTGAAACGCACTACGACTCGCTCTTATTACATAGACATAAAGTTTCATCTGACCGGCTTAATGCGATTCCGTGTTGATAAGTGAAGTGACTTCCTCAGTGTCGAAGACATGTCGTCGCTAGCTGAGGTGACTTCACTCACAGAAGTGTCTCTAGATGGAAATCCTGTGGCTTTGGGTGGAGACTGTACACCATTTTTGGTATCATATCTACCAAACTTAGTAACGCTGACTAATATGCACGTCACTGATCAAGTAAGTAAACAACGGACATTGATGAAATTCAATATAAAATCGATCCTAAGTTACTCTCTATAAATCACTATCATTACTGTCTTTGCTGTAGGTTCGTAGAGCCGCTATGGCTTGGAGAAATAATAAGGAAGCGGCTCGTGCAGCATACTGTGCACTTGGAGGAACGGAACAGCACGCCGCTCGACGAGATCAGATCATAAACAATGCCCGTACCAACTGGGAGCTACTAAGGTCAGTTCAATTATGAATTTCTTATTATTCCGACAAGATACTATGATATTACAATATTTCAACTGACAATTTAAATCTAGGTCTGAAAACAAATGTTTCGCTACTGCAAGCACTAACACTCAAATGAAAAACCCTGAACCTGAAAAGGAATATGTAATTGAAACTTCAACGATCATTACCCAAACTGGTGCTACGCAGACTGAAATAGCAGCTCTTCCAGACGTAGTAATAACCATGCAGCATTGCGAAGCAGACGACTCTGACTTTAAAAACAATACTAGTGACACAAATGTTCCATCTTCAGACAACGCACCGATTAAATCGCCTGTGCGAAAGTTACAACGAAGTTCCACAGCTCGAAAACCATTAAATGAAAGACGAGTTAACTTCTCAGAACGTAGTGTTTCTCAGGACACAGACGCATCCCATTCTACATCTACTAGTAGTGATATAAGATTGCCACCTATACTTTTGCCTATTATTTCTTCACTTGAAAATGTTAAGCTTTCTGATGGCACAGAGCCTGTTTTAAAAAGATGGGAAAGTGTTTCTAGCGTTGAACCCGTCATAAATTCATCATTCAGCTCTTTGCCATCGTCAACAAGTGATAGTGAAGAAGAAGCAAACAACAAAAGGCGATTTCGTCGTGCTCCTACTGCGGTGCGTAGACGAGAACAGTTTAGCTCAATGCGGTCTAAATCAGTATGCGATCCAGAAAGTCGACGGGCTAAAGCAAATGCCAAGAACTTTGATAACAGTGAAAATGCCAGCAACGTGTCAGGTAGTACAAACGTTGGGTCTGTTACTGCATCATCAACTTCGAGCAGTGATCAAAATACCAAAATTTTACGAAGAGAAGGTTCCGTTAACGGTAGGTTAAGTAACAGAAATATAAGGAGTGCGACAATTGCTAGAAGGAATGAAAGAGCTTCATCAGCTAATAGAGCGGCTACAGCAAGAATACCAAAAACGAGCAAAAGTTTGGCTAGTTTGAAATCTTCAGAACCGGTTCCTAAACCAATAGTGCCTGCGACAAAAGATAGAGAACAAGGTAGGTTTACTGTACTGACACGTAAATGTTAATCAAATTGTTTTAATAATGATTTTAAATAAGCTTACATTTTAAATGCAGGTGTAGATTACTTAGTGGAGGTATGCGACGACTTAGTGAGCGCGTGGGGCGCCGGGGCAGTCCGTCGACTAGCCAGGGACTGGGAGTGGGAGAGAGCAAGGACAGTAACTCGTGCAGCTTTTCACTATGTCCATTTTAATGCTGTCGCACAATCTTTACCCGAATTAAAAAACAAGTAGGTTGTTCACAAATTATTCAAAGCTTTTACGTTATTATGGATAAGTTGCAAGTTGTTCTTTGATTTTAGATTTCCAAACGTATCTCAAATATCATTTCGAGCAACGGGGCTTCAATGGTTCGGCCAGCTTCATGCTTTAGCAGAACTTCGTGGAATCAGTGGTTTAACCATTTTACCTGAAGGCAATCCAATTCATACAAAAATATGGCGGGAATACGCTATATACAGGCTGGCTCATTGGGGACTCAAGCAAATAAATGATGAATCAGTAAGTTACGAGAAATGTATATACCTATAGAACTCAATTCAAGCCGTATTACACTCTCATTGAAAAGATAAGCGTATTATTTTAATTTATTTTTTAAAGGTAACTGATGAAGAGGTAAAATCAGCAAACCAAACCTACCACGGACTAAGTGACATAGTGTTACGGGCACTGCCTGATGCTCCCTTACAACCTCTGCTGTCTCGTTTGGGGAGAAGCGGCAACAGCACCGTCAGTGCCAAAGCTTGGCTGAGAGCCGCTGATCCAGCTCTAAGGGATGTGATCGCCAAGGAAGCGTTACAGTATAAAAAAGGGCACGTGTCTCAGGTCTGTAACCTACTTGAAATTACCATCACCTGTATTGTTTTTTCGTGTTACAATAGAAATAGTTTTTATTCTAAAAAGAAACGACGCAGCAGACGTACATTTAACAATTAAAAACGAAACAATTACAATATGAAAAAAATCGAAATAAAAAAGCGGAAAAAATACATACCAATTAGATAGTACATGCAAATAACACACAAACGGGATGCAAATAACTATAAAAATAAATAATCAGGCGATAAACCATAAAGTGTGCATGCTGTACTGTTACGGAATCCGTCATCCACTCAGCTTGATATCGTCTCACTGCAAGTGCTACGACGCTGATTTCAACAATTCTATCATCGTTTTCATACTCAAGTGTCGATAATTTCAATGCGCTTACACTTTCCAAATCAAGTCACTATGAGTCATTTGAATAAATTTTACTTCACAGGGCCTTACTGATTTTCAATTACAGGAAGACATGAGTTGGCGAGTTCGTGGTCGCGGTCAGTTATGTCATATAATTGAATTAGCCTGCGGTGCAGCACAGCGCTTACGAGCTCTAGAACTGCTGTGGCCATCAATCCTCGTCGAGATGATCGAGGATATACTGAAAGATTTTTCTGATATGGACACACATGTCAAGGAACAAATGCAGATGTTGATGGATTCTATGTAAAAAAATATATCTTAGCTTGTGTCCTACAGGACTTATTAAGTATTCTGTACCATTACACCATTGTGCATTGATATAGAAAACTTGACGCAAATACTATTTTTAGTTTGTTGTGATTGCAGTACTTACCTAAGAAAATATATGTAGATTTATTATTACTTTAAGAAATTGCAATTCTATTAATGGAATATGTCTAGATAAAAACGATTATAAATTATTTATTAACTAGCACAATATTTATTATTAAGTATAAACTTAAAACACTATGTATATTAGTGATGAATAGATCGTACTAGGATGGATAATACTAACCCACGGGGAGTTTAATATTCTATGGGCATTGCTATGTGCTATCATTGTTTCTTCCCTTACGTAGTAGAAATAAGGTTTTGGTTGGGGCCATTGGTTTTCTATTGTAATATTTTAATTACTACATGTTATGTTATAATCATATTCTTATAAGTTACAAAGCAACTATAATCATTAAATCGATACACATTTTTATCTTATGGTCGTAATTTATAGCAGTAATTTGTTGGACTGAAAGAACGATACTTATCGCAATTTGCTCAATAACTATAGGTAATCGTAATAGTCTTTTCAGTGATTAGAGGAATTTAACTTTAGTGTCACGAATTTATTGTAACAAGAATACTTAGTTAAATTGTTAACTACGCCTGCGGGTAACAAATTATATTTAATTCGTAGAAAATAAATCTTTGCACATTGATTGAAGATAATGTTTAATTTAATGATTGTTTCCTTCTTTATCATATTGACTTGCGAGCTCTACACATCGAGGGCGGCGCGATTTGAGTGTCATACTTAATTTCGACAAACACTATTTCGACTCGACAGTACTTCGACAACATATTAATTCGACGGAAATGTTCTGTCAGAATAGTGACCTGTCGATTACATTTTTTTTATAATATCACGTGACGGAACTAATAAGTCGTGCGCCTAGTAGTAAGCTACACGCCTATCCATAACAGTTGCAGTGCCTTAAATAGCTAAGGTCTGAGGGGTGCTATCAATGCGCCCGTCACCCTGAGACATGAATTGACAAGTCCCAAGTGCCTGTAATTTCACCAGCACCCTTACCCTTCAAAACCGGAAAACAGTAATGCTGACATTACTGCTTGGCGGCAGTAATAAGTAAGGTAATGTGTTGTCGAAATAGTTTTCTGTCGGTGTATAACCCATCGAATGTTTGTGTTGTCGAAGCAGTGTTCTGTCGGACTAATGACCTGTCGAACATGTGTTTTGTCGAAGTAGTGTTCCGTCGAATTAATGTGTAGTCGAAGTACTGTCGAGTCGAAATAGTGTTTGCCGAAATTAAGTATGACACTCGCGCGATTTACTTAGGACGACATCAGCGGATAAAAATACAGGTAACTTGTGCGATAATCCGACGAGAGACACGCTCGCGGAAGGTCTACTGGGTCTTCTGAAACCTACTGTAGATCAACTCGACGACAGGGTGCGAGTTACTAGGTAAGTTGTTTTAAAGACAATAAAAAAGACACGAACCGTTCCTATATACAAGTTCGGGCGCACGCAGTTATAGGTGAAGATCCTCGATGTCAGTTTATGATACAAGCAGCACGCTTACAAATGGTCTTTCGCATCGACATTACAAGAGGTATCTCCATACTAAACTTGTTTTGTCTAGGTATGGATAAATACACGTTCGCTGTTGATTTAGAAACGTTATTTTAAGTGGCATTGGTATGTAAATCTAGTGAGCGTATAATCCGTTTTTATACATAGCTTGGTTGTTATAATTCCCAAAGCCAAAAGCCAGATAAACCAAATTGTGCATCGCCGTTGTCTCAAAAAGTCGCATCAGTCATACACGTACGTCTCATTGTTAGGTGCGGGTCTTTAATTTCTCATTCAGATCATTAACTATTAAAATTGAATAGAAATGAGTTCACCATATTAAATTCTGGAATTCTTGTCAGGAATTCTACTAGCCGAGAAGTGACTGATTCCAGTAAGAAAATCACTCTGGATCTTATGGGAGCTTAGGAGCCCCTTACATACACATGTTTTATACTTTAGATAAGGTTCCTATGTTTCGAAAGGCTTGTATTATTCTAATAAGCTTTTAAGATCTAATGGGTATTGAATTTTGTGCAGTCAGAAGAGCGCAGGAAGTGTTGAGCAGTTTTACAAAAAGAGAATGCACCTATTAAAGTGACACATCATTTCGTAGTCTACCAACATTAAAATAACATATCACTGTGATGAACTGTCAAAACCGGAATTTCGTACAAGTTTGGAATTGGATACTAGGTACCTAATACCTTGCTACTGCCTTATCGTTGGCGTGTTTAACCAATATTATCTGCCTGCACTCTTCGGAACTGTTGATCAACATTAGCTGACCGCATTCCTCGAAACTGACACTGGTCCATGCCTAGTGGCAGCCATTAAGGAAATTGTAATAACCATTTTTTGCGAAAATTGTGATTTCAGCACGTTTTGAATTAAAATGAAAGTGAAGACAGTGTAGGTACTATTCGAAATGGATGACACAGAAAGTACAACTACATCAGCGGACGAAAATACTGGTAACTTGTGCGATAATCCTACGAGAGACACGCTCGCGGAAGGTCTATTGGGTCTTCTGAAGCCTACTGTAGATCAACTCGACGACAGGGTGCGAGTTACTAGGTAAGTTGTTTTAAAGAAATAAAAAAGTCGCGAACCATTCCTAATCAAAAAGTAAACGAACTTACATTAAGAAAAACGAGGTGCTACTAGATGTTTGTGTAATATGAGATAACTTTCCCATAGATTAACCTGTTCATGAAGTGCTAAATTAATAAAAAATGTCACTCCTAAGTGCCATAATGCTTATATTGATTCAATGTAAAATGTTCTATGTAAATAATTGAATTTTGTCAGTACATTGTTGATACTCTCTGCAGTAGAAAATGGCGTACTCCGTCTTATCATGCTGTAATATTACATTTTACAGTAAATGTCATTACTGTCCATGAATAGATTAAGTTGATTTTGTCCCATCACTAGAATCTGTATGTAATACAAATATTCCTATAGTTGGCAAAATATTATTTACACCAAATTCGTGCTATCGCTTTGTTTTTTGAGTACAATAAGACAAAAAGTGAGCTGTTACAATAACACACATGCCATCTGTGTAGTCCAAACAAACAGTTTAGATACTTTTACACATTGGCAATTAATTTCAAATGTGGTGATCTTTATATGGAACTAGCTTTGTTAAGTATGTAAGAAAAGAGTTGGCAGTTGGTATTTTATGAAGCATCAACTTAAAAAAACTACCTGATGAGTAAATAATTCAAAACTACAATCCAGAAAAAGTACCCATGGCTCGAACAAGGAACCAAGATCATTAAAAGCAGTGTTAATGGTTTTAACCTATTGTAATAGAAAGGATAGGTTGTTCCAAGAGATAACATTCATCGGTGCAAATAATATTTCTTCAGCTATACTTATCTAGCTTCAAATAAAAGTAATTTTAACTTTTACAAATATTTAGAACTTCTGTATTGCACCTACAGATAGGAAAGGTGTTATAATTTATGACACTATACAGAAGTTACGGATGTTTCTTGAGTAGGTAAGATTAGTTCTGTATTCCATCTTTTCTTTCTGTTTTCCATCTGAGGCAAGCATGTGTGACCGTTCTGGCAATGTTATTAATGCCAGTCTTAACCGACTGTGAATCAAGGTCAAACTGCATTAGCAAGTCTCAGTATGAAATACCACCTAAGTCAAAACTAGGTCCTTAATAGCTCAACTTATTTATATTATATTGTATCAATGGCATACATTGCATCCTCAACTGGAACTCTGGCTGTAGAGTTTATACTTTTATATTTATACACTAGCAAAATTTAAGATCTGTGAAACAAAAACTGAGAAATTTCATTGAATTTGAAACATATTTTAAAGGAGGATTTAGCAGTTGCTGTTCAAATTGGATAAATTATTCAGAGAAACATACATAAACTACTGTTAATCATTAAAAAAGAAGAACCGCCAAAATGTGACTTATCGGTTTTTGTTCTGATGCTCCTAAATTATAATGTCGATGTATATAAATTTTGCCTTAATATGTATAACATTGTAAATTTTCCAGAATATCCCAATTAGAATTGAAACAACAAATAGACAGCCTAAACGAAGAATTACAGAAAGTGCGGGAGGCCCTTAACAATCATCCTGACTTGGACCCTTACGTTAAGAAGCTTATCGCATGTAAACACAAAGTCACTGTTGTACTCAATGTGTTGCAGGCTTCACAAGTATGTATCATATTTTCTGTGTTGAATGCACTTAAAATCTTATTACAACATTTTGTAAAGATAGTTGAATAAATGAATGAATGCAATACTCTTTATTGCTCATAAAATTACAGTGGCATTATAGAATGGTACTACAAGTATAAAAAATAGTAAGTTAATGTGCAACTGGTGGCCTTATTGCTATGCAGCAATTTCTTACAGGCAATATTAGGTTAAAAGTTTGATACATGCAAAAGGGGTGCAACCAAAGAATATCTTCAAAAATACAGTATATAATAAGTACTAATACAATATATGAAGACTGCAAATGCAAAACGTCTAATGTACATTTGGAAAATATTACAGGCGAGTGGTAAAATAATTTTTTTTTTAGAAAAAAAACTTTTAAATTTATTAATTATATGGAAAAGCTGAAACTTTCTAGTTTTCCATATAACAAATAAAATTGAGTTATGATTTTTTGTCTTAAAACAAAATACTTTAAATCACTCTTCTGCAATGTTTTCCAAATGCAACTTAGATGTTTTATCTTTCTAGCATATATATAACATTATGTAGATAGAATAGTGATATATGTATACATAATTTTAATACATAACAATAAATAAATATATTATAAAATAAAATATACTATACACTTTTATAGAGAAAAAAAGCTACTTATTATTAGTCAAATGTTCACTTCACTTTTAGAGACATTATTATGTTAAAATTACATTTCTACCAGTATCATAATATCAATATATTGATATTTTATGATATCAACTTTAATTGCATTATAATCTAATAAACAAAATATATGAAATAATTTTATTAATGCAAAGATTGAGAAAAATTCCTTAGATCCAGCTGGATTCCAACCAGCGCCTTCAGCATACCGTGTCTAACGCTCTCCCAACTGAGCTACGGAATAAACCAGCAGACCTTATGAATTTTTCTGTGCATGTTGCAGATCTTTGTTTTTGGTTTTTATTAACTTTTCATCCATAGCGCCATCTGTGAGAAATCTGTGAAAGTTTTTCTCCACAGCCAGGTACCTTTACAGCTACCAGTGCAGTCGTGTAAATATTAATATGTGAAATAAATATTAATTTCCAGGATCGATTGAATGAAATAAGGCGTATGGTGAACAAAGAGAAGAGTGTTCGACCTGCAGTCCATATAGAATCACCCCAAGAGCCACAAGAACCTGAACAGGGGCGTAGTGGAGTTGTCTCACAGCAAGGAAGTATCAACTGATATGGAGACTCCATATCAAAACCACATTGACAAGGCAGACTTTGATCATGTTTATGAGCCATCTGAAGACAGTTTTCTACTAATAGATGCCTTAGAAAAGGATCTAGAATATGTGAAGGCCAAAAACCCCACATTTTGCCTAGAAGTTGGTTCAGGCAGTGGTGTCATTATAGGTGCTTTTGGAATGGCATTTCCTTACACTATCTGTATGAGTACAGACATTAACTTTAAAGCTTGTATTATGACAAAACAAACAGCCAGTTTCAATAAGGTTATACTTGACTCTGTGAATATGGATTTGGCGTCATTATTTATTGACAAAAAATTTGATGTTATTATCTTCAATCCTCCCTACGTTGTGACAGCGACTGAAGAGTGCAGAGTCAATGATATCAGTGATAGTTGGGCTGGTGGCGTCAAGGGAAGAGAAGTGACAGACAGATTACTTCATATGATACCAAAGAAGCTAGCTGATCATGGTGTTTTATACCTCTTGTTGATAGAAGATAACATTCCAGTTGAAGTCATACAGATTATGTCCATGTATGGATTTAAATCAGAAACTGTGCTAAGAAGACGAGTGCGGAATGAACAACAATTAGTGCTTAAGTTCTATAAATAATGTTATTTGTACAGTGAAAACTTTATTTGTAAGTTCAATATGTTCATTAATTATAAAGTTGATAACAAGCTGTTGTTTATTATTTAAGATTCTTCTTTACAGCTTCTCCAAATTGTTTGGCTCCTTCCTGGTTTTCTTCAAAGCCTGGTAGAGCTTTACAATCTTTGACCCACTGCTGGATGTTGGGGAAAGAAGAAATATCCCATCCCACTGCCTGTAATTTCAAAACAGTCCAATTATGTAATATTATAAAATTTAAAAATAATGTAATTTGGTGAAGATAAATATGGAGGTAAACGTAATAATAATAGGTAGGTATATTTATTCAAGAGATTTTATTTAAATAAATAATCATAATATAAACTTATACTTGATTTCAGTCAGTTTATACTTGGTGAGTTAGAAGAAAAAAATTATTGCGTAATTTAGTGAACCCAGTATGCTATAAATATAAATTCCAGTTCTAAAACATGTGTTCATTAATTCACTAATTAAAAAACATGTTTAACGTGATACTTACAAGGATACTGGATAAAGATGCGTAGATAGAGGTATCTGCTATGGTGCAATTGTCTCCAGCCACCCATTTGCTACCATTTAGGAATGTTTCCAAAAAATTTAACGCATTGTTCAGGTCATCTTTAAGGTTCTGCTTTATCACGGTTTCTCCGAGAAATAGAATTGGAAACTAAAAAAGAAAAGTCCTATAAGTACAAAATACGGGGTGATAATTTATTTGTGACTTTAAAAGCTAAAAAATGTTTTACAGGTATTATTTATGGGAAGTTATTTTTATCTTATATGCCATTTTACAAGTGTTGCTTTAATCAAATTCCAAAGTTTCACATATACAGTAAAAATGAATTTAAAAAGCTTACATATCACAAACATTGAATAGGTACAAAATAAACTATATTAATATATAGGCAAACTGCGCAAACTAAACTTTGTCATCTTAGTTTAAAGCGCCAAAGAAGGGAGTCACCACATTTATTAATGCGAAATCGGCTTGATCGAAAAGATTCAGAAAATGCTTCACGTCCATGTAGCATTTGGACCGCCAATGCGAAACGCATTTATATATATAATGTGTGTGGAAACGCAGTTTTTCTTTGCCCTTATTATATGGACATAGAGCTGTTTTCTCACCCGCTTAACGAATCTGTGTCGATAAGTATAGTGACTCCCTAAGTAGACGTCGAGACTACGGCACTCCATAATTGTAAACAAAATAAAAACAGCTCTAAACTCCATTTTTTTATCATAACGAGAAAAAAGACTGAATTTAAACCTAGCTAATATTTACCAGAATTAATGCCAATGTAAACATGATCTACGTCAGACGTACGCGTTAAAAGTTAAATAAATACAGGTACTCACGCAAATTGCTCTAATCTTTACAAACAAATTAGACGCATCGAAGTAAAGTCTTTGATTGACAACAGCGCGTTTCTGCAAGTCCTTAGGGTAGAATTGATCATCTTTCCCGTACTTATCAGCTAAGTATGAAGCGATGGCTCGGCTCTCCCATAATACGAACCCGTTGTCGACAAGGGTTGGCACCGTGTGCTGCGGATTCACCTTTATGAAACTTTCTTTCAGTTGTTCTTTTTCAAATAAGTTTACAATTTCAACTTCGATTGGTACTCCAATCGTTCTTGCAGCGAGCAAAGCGCCTCTAGAAGGAGCGCTGATTGGAAAGTGGTATAACTTCAGAGACTTCCTATCACCGCAACTTTTGTCGGCAGATGCCATTTCAATAGTTAAATTAAAAGAAATGGAATTCAATTAAATTTTAGGCCACAAAGCAGCACACGTGGCCATACACTCGCGCGACGCGTAGAAAAACTTATCTAAAAATGGGACGCGACGGGCGGCGGGCGGCGCCGGCGACGAGTACAAGACGTTGATTGACCTTCTTTTTTTTTGTCCTTGGCCTTTTGCTGTTAAGCTCAATTTACATTGCGGCGGAACGGAATGAAAGTGAAATTAATGAACTTTATGTCAATAGTGCAACGTACAAACTAGATAGGTACGAGGTAAAACAGGGTCGAGCGTATTCTGGAGAATAGTGTAGAAGTAGTAGTAGTAGCGCGAAGGCAGGCGCCACAGCGCAACGTCAAGCGTGTACGAAATAGGTGTGTAGGTACATACAGTCAAGCACATCAAGCTTGACACTTTGACAGACAGTTCTTATCGTAAGCGGCATAGAGTTGGATTTAAGTATCTAGCCTGACGTGCTCTCAACCCTGTACGTACGTAACGTGCCAAACATGTATTAAAGTTGATTTATTTAGTGTAAAAACATAATTGTTAGTATACAATGTAAAACCTAGAAACTGTTGGAAAAAACTTTTCTTAACACATCTTCTATGAAAGTCTTTAACTCTACTTAGGGAGTCACTATACTTATCGACACCGATTCGTTAAGCGGGTCAGAAACTACAGCGACAAAAATTCTGATAATAATGCATGGGGAAAAGTCATACAAAGTAGGCGATTTGAGATATAAATCTTTGAAAAATGGAAGAAATGATAATATTGTTCAAAATGTTCTTTGGAAAATCACGAACGGTCTATCTTATTCACCTTTTCAAAGAACATATTCTTTCTTTCTGTTTTTCTACTTCACAAATAAACGAAATAAAAGTAATATTCAAGTCCATCATCTTTGTCATGTAAAAGATGGTTAACAACTGAATATATGTTATATACAACAGCCTCAAGGCGTAGTCGCAATTTGCGACTACGCGTCTCGCGCTGCGAAATACGCTATGTTCCGTCGCAATGAAAATTTTTATGGCAAAATTTCAATTCTCTCCTAGCTCATCTTCGGTGAAAATGGTCTAAATTGACAATAAAGAACGACCCTATGCGGCCTACATTGAGTATTTATAAACTTTGCAACGGAAAAACCTATTAATTTCAGTCGCGAGATTGTGAAGTACAGTACGATTTGAATTTAAAAAGAAACAGCTTCATCTGATTCGTCTTCCGTTATACAATTTCTTTTGTTTCTACAGCCGCGTGTTTATCACTAGACGAAAACAGATTTCACTAACCACCACTACTTGTAAAAAAATATTTAAAAAAATTACGAAATTTTAAAAAGGAATACTCCTTGAATAGGTTACTTTTCACTTTATCAGACTGTCATTCAAATTCGTCGTCGTTTTCAAAACTGTAAGTCGCTTTTATAATGAATTTCAGTCGTGAAAATTTTCGGTCCATAGTTTTGTACGATTTTCGATGTGGCTTAAGTCAACAAGAGAGTTGCCAGAGACTACAATTATAATTTGGTGATGAAGCCCTATATGTCGTAACTCCGTGTATTCGTGGTTCAGTGAATTTAGATGTGGACGTGATCATCTCCGTGACGATATACGGCGACTGCGCGCTGCGGTTACCGAATTTAATATTGATACCGCACGACAACTGATTGAAACTGACAACAAAATACTTGTCAACAAATTCGTCCTGTTTTAGGCATCGGAATGAGCTAGATGCAAAAGATGTTGCATGTGTATCTAAAGGTTCGGAAACTTTGCACTCGATGGATACCATAATATTTAACGGAATACCAGAAACGACTGCGTGTAAGATGGTGCCGTAAAATGATAAAAAAGTTTCATGGAGGACAATCATTGGCTGTATACATATAATATCGTGACTGGTGACGAAACCTGGGTGTACTGCTTTGAACCGGAAAGAAAAAGCCAGTCCGCAGAATGGGCCTTTCCTTTTGAAAATTTCCCGACGAAAGTTAAGAAAAGTCGGAGTCGGCAAATCAGATAGTAACTGCAGATTGGTATCTGCACCTGCTTGCCCAGTGTTAGAAAAAATTCGCAAAAAGCGTCCTCGAAGCAATATCGTCCTTCACCAAGATAACGCTTTTGCACATTTCGTTAAGGTAACGATGCGTATTTGAATGCGACTTCTTTTTATGTCCAAAAATCAAAGATAAATTTAAAGGTTTCCGATTTACAGGCCCGGAAGCGGCAGTGAATGCGTTCCACGAAGCCATTGAAGAAGTCCCTACGGAAGACTGGTCCCACTGCTTTTCACAATGGTTCTAACGAACACTTGTTCGGTATAGGACAAATTCTGGATTCGAGAGATTCGTGATTAGGCACATTCGCTATTCCACAGATTCGGGTATTGGGCAGATTCTTAGATTCAACAAATTAGCTTTACGTCAGAAATTACCTATCAGAATCCAGAAACTTTCAGTATCGCCTAAGTATGTTAGGTATCAATCGCGATAGCTATTAATGAGAATTTTTGATTTATTTATTTATTTACAATATAAGTTTACAACGGATTAATTATATACTTCATCATAGTTAAATTACATAGTCAAAAAAAGGTACTCTGCTTTGGATTTTTAAAAATTCATTGACGAACAAAACAGCATATTTCAAGAATTCGTTTGAACTGTCATAATGGAATATGTCGGCACGTGACTGTTGTATGAGCAATTGATGGAAATAGGCCGGCGAGATTTCAATTCTCGTCTCGCCTCGCCGGTGGAAGAGCACCCTTAGCGTTCGAGCCATAACTTTTAACAAAAACAAGAATATGTTTTATGTTTTGGAATGTGTTTTTTCGTATAAGTTTAGGAAACAGATTTTGAGGATAATGATATATATGATTGACGACACTCGTCAATTGTTTCGAATTCGAGCGCAGTTGTCACCGAAATGATTTGGCAGAATGGTTTTCAAAACAAATTAAATGACATTTCGTCTCTATTTCTGGTTATATACTCGATTTATTTATACATGCTACATTATTCGACTATTCAGTATGTTTCGAGTCGAAAGGGAGTTTAGAATTTCCTTTTTATTAACTTTTGTACTTTCAACCAACCACCACTTCGTTTGAAGTTCGTTACACTGATATTTTATACTTATGATTGAATGATAAATAATTGTAGGTATCGTAAACAACTAACTTTATTTGAATATAAAATGTAACAATATTATTATCATAGAGACAATTTAAAGCTTTAATGGTATGTAGGTACACATTTTGGGTGTGTAATAGTCGATATAACAACAGATCTGTTTGCACTTAGTGTAACGGTATTTAATATAATTTCACATGGTATAATCACTCATGGGATATAATTAATAAATGTACCACAACAAAATGTATAATTGTGTATAATAAATATTCAGTATATCAAAACATTACATGTATAATGCTATATATCTGACATTTTAATATAAATAATGTACATTATAACACCGGTATGTCAGATTGAATCAGTTACATGAACCCTTTATTATACCGAATGACACTTAGCATAGAATAAATTAATTGTATCCCTTGAGTGTTATTTTGACCAATATATCATAATTTGTTGTTTTAAGGAATGAACCGCACCGCGCCCATTAGATTTTGTTAGGCGTAAATTTGTTACTCAAGTTTCTTTTTATATGGCGTTTGATTTTATGTTTATCCAAGTCACATTTTTGTGCGAATTTTGCTGAACAACCCGTACATGAGAAAGGCTTAACCCCTTCGTGTACCGCTTGGATATGACGTTTGACGTGTGCTTGGCGTGATAATTGAAGCCCACAGAGGTGGCAGGTGGCTGGCTTGCCTCCGTGCGTGAGGAGGTGGCGTTTTAATTCGAATTTGGATATAAACTTGCCATGGCAATTATCACACTTGAAGTTCAGTTCACCTCTGTGTCGGCTGTAACAAAGTTGATGATGAAATAAAACTTGGTCATATATTAAGCCACAATACACGATTTAAAAAATGTGTGGACATATTTCACTCAATTATCTTCTTATGATAAAAACGACGTTATCATAAAATTAAATTTATTATTTGCGAAAACAAAATAAAAATTGATTCTCCACACTTTCAGGTTGACCGCCCAGATTTGGCACATATATTTTGTAATAATAATAATAAATAAATAAATAAATAAAAACATTATTATTATGATTATTACACATTTTGTATAAGTACCTAGGTATCAAATGTTTTTAGCGAATTTAATAAAATGGTCGAATGGTCGATCCTTTTCCTTGCACTCTGTATGAGGTTAAATACTTACAGGAGATGATACTGTAGTTGTCCACTATGGCGAAAGGCGCGTGAGCACAAGGTACAACGATACGGAACAGAACCCGAGTGTTTACGCGCGTGCGCCTTTAATCCAGCTGCATGAGCGAATGTTAAATCGCAATCTTTACATTTGTAAGGTTTTATTCCCTAGGGTGAAAAAGGAGTTTAGTTTCTTTGTACTATACATAATTACTTTAATAATTTTATTATTACAGATTAAAATTCTTAATTAGCAATAAATAAATTAAAAGAATTATCAATTACAGTATGAGTTCTGAGGTGTACTTTGAGAGCCTGTAGCGAAGCAAAGCTTTTGTCACAATGTGTGCAGAGAAATGGTTTCTCTCCAGTATGAATTCTTATGTGGTTTTTCAAAGTAAACCTGGGGAAAAAAAGTTATAATTATTAATACAAAGATCGAAGTATGGATTCCTTCGATCCGACTGGATTCGAACCAGCGCCTTCAGCATACCGTGGCTGAAGCTCTCCCAACAGAACGAACGAAGCAGAACGAACCAGCCGACCTACGAATTTTTCTATGTGCTTCTTGCAGATCTATGTGTTTGGTTTTAAATGATTTTTTTACTGTTGCGCTTTCTGTGAGAAGCTTAGAAAATTTAAGGCGGAAGCAAAAAACAATTTATTCACTCAAATGTGGATTAGCTATCTTCTAACCCTGTCAATGGAGTCATAAAATAGTTTGTACGTACTTTAGCTGGTATGTTCTGATTAAAATTGAAGTTCTCCACAAAGTGTGTTTTTGAATGAAGAACTAATTGCAAAATTTAATGAAAAACACTGACAACCCTTGTGGCTCAACAATTTGCATTGTGAACTTTGAGATGGTCAAGTGTAATTCCTGGTAAGACCAACTGGAAATTAATTTTTCTAAATTAGTTCTGGTCTGGATGTTCTGAGTAGTGCCTCAGTACCATGTCCTGGTACTCATAGAACAGGGAATTCCCTTGTTGAGATCAGGGAATAGGTTGCCTAGGACATTTTATTACTATAATTATTATAAAACTGTACAAATTTTTTTTTAACAAATTTTTCTTTGTCTATACAATCACCAGGTAAAGTGATATGTTTAAAACCTTTTTGTTACGTCTTGTATAAAGAAAGTGGTGAATAACTGCCTCCGTGGCCGAACGGTTACCATGCCGGACTGCCACGCAGAGGTCCCAGGTTCGATTCCCGGGCCGAGAGAAATAGTTGTATGGCCTACAATTATTTCTCTCGTGAGTTTGGGTGTAATTTGTGGTTGTCTATGTGTGTGTCCATGGCACCCGCGACACAGGGTTTCCCTAGTGCGGGGCTATGTTGAGTGTGTGCGTTTGTGCGTTAACCAACAATACTACGATCAGGGCTGGCTATTGTATTTGTATTTAAATCATTACCTAAAATGTATTTTGTCATTGGTATTTTAAACATATGACAGTCAAATATTTTGTAACTGACATTTATTTCAAATACTTTGTACTGTCTGGTGAGTGGTAAGTGGTATTTTGTAATTGAAGTGGCATAGCAGAATGAATTGTAGCAGTAGAGCTCGTTGCCGCCACGCAGTAATGTGAGCATTACTGCATTCCACTTTTGTAGAGTAAGGGTGCTGGTGAAATTACATAGACTGAGGACTTGCCAACATAAGTCTCAGGGTGACAGGCGTGTAATAGTCTAGTGTGGGTGGATAATCAATCGGTGCGATGTAGGTGATCAATGTGATTATACCCACCCTGACGCCATAAGTTTTCCACATATTGAACACTGATATTTCTCTTTGATCTTTTGTTGTCTTTCGTTAACATTGGTTAAATGAATATTTTCTACTTCATCTATGCATTTTTGTTTCAATGCATTTAACACCTCATTTTTAATATTTCTTATTGGATAATCACTGAATTCATTGTTCGTTTCAGATATGTCTCCTACATTAAAATTTGTTCTTCCTTCTACAATTTCCACAGAGGTCCGTAATTTCTGGTCCGAATCTTGGAATAGCTGAATAAATTCTGTGCAAATTTCTAACTTTTCCAAGCAATTGTTACATATGTTATCAGGAAGACCATCACACGGATAAATCTGTAATTATATAAAGAGCATACTGAGATTAAATTAAATAAAATTTCAATTGGTAGTTATTATAAAACCACTTACGTGTACTTTGGTCACAGACATTATTTTCTCAGAAATTGATACACTACCATTTTCTACGAATATATTTTTATTTGCTCCATTGTTTAAACACACTCTACACTTACTCATGGTAAATAATGTATATTAGAAAGTACTCTTTCAAATTCAACTTCAACTTTTGTAGAAAACAAAACAAATAAGGATGATGTGCAAGCGCCGTACAGCTGATTTTATTTTATTTTTTATTTCATAACCTTGGATTCAAGTATTTTTGTCGATGATTCGATGATAGCGCTTTATTGGATAATAACATTTTCCGAAAAATTATTTCAAGGGGACATTTTTCGGGAAATATTACTGACAAATTGAAAACAATTGAGAAATATAATTTGAAGACTCCTAGTCATAATAAAATATGTTTCACTAATATGTGTTATACATTTTGCATGAATTATAAATTTACAGTTTATACAATTTTATATAAAATAAAATTGTATAAGTAAACATTGAAAATGTAATTTTCAACCATAGATTTAGTACATAGGTTTTAAACATTAGAGGATGGAAAAAATTAAAATTTTAAACCCTGTTTGACTTATTTTCACAAATTCCAAAGTTCATTAGCTTCAACTTTTGACAGGACAATCAAAATCAAGCTAATCAGAAAAAAAATCTTTTTCCATAACATGATTTGTTTCAAAATGGAAATTTTACTATGATTATGAGTCAACACTAATTATAATTATAGACTCTGAGCTTCCTGTCATGTTAGCATATTTTTAGTACAGGGTCAAGAGCACGTCAAGCTTGACACTTAAGACTTAAATCCAACTCTATGCCGCTTACGATAAGAACGGTCCAAAGTACAAAGTGTCAAGCTTGACGTGCTCTTGACTGTACAAAATAATGCAAGATAATAATTTATAGATAGCGACAGAAATATCACCAATGAGCCTTCTTGACTGTGACCAGTAAAAAGCATAAATCATTTTGAGAAAATGAAATGTTTATTTTAAGACTATATAATAAATAGAAAAAAATAAAAAATAGTAAATTCATCTCAAATAATATCGGTTGAGTTAGGAATACCGGTATTGATTAGGCCTTTTATTATTTATTTTATGTGGCAACACTTTAACCGCATTCGTTTTTCAAAATTTTGAAATTCGTCAACGTTTCCCTTTGTCAATTTAAATCGTTGTAAGTTGCGAGTTATCGTTGTGAATTTTGCGATTTATGTGATTTATACAAAAATCGAACGCGAGAGATAACTACGTTGCGCATTGTTTCAACAAAGACCACTAAAACTACTGGGTTAACGCAAAAAAAGTGATTTCATAATAACTTGTTACGATGTCAAGAGATAATAATATTTATTATTCTGAGAAATATTACGACGAGGAGCACGAATACAGGTATATATTTACTTCAATAAATTTGCATACCTCATATTACTAAGTTCATTAAAGTAAGAAAACAATGTTATGTGAAAATAACCTAAAAACGATATAATTTCGTAGTTTGTTTTATGTGGTAATTATGTGATAAAAATCAAAGAAAGTCAGGAAATAAAGTCATTATTTGCATATTTGCTTGTGTCTGTAGTTGATTTTTACTTTGATCTGTCTTTACACTGCTTAAATGCGAAATTTTTTTTGCGCAGGTATGACTTAAGTCTTATTCATCTTTTATCTTTTAATGATACACTATTTATTTTACTCAACGATAACAATGTAAACGACTTTTACACATTTTTACTTCTTACATTACATTTTTATTACTTTTACATAGTACTATTTAGCATGGAAATAGATGCAGGAAGCACTTAAAATTACCAAAATATTATCAAGACATGTCATATAAATTCTTAAGAGGCTAGGCTCCTCTGTATTTTATTTACCATGCGTAATTAGGCTCCACGATGTTGAGTTGCGGAAAGCAGCCTGTTATTTATTTATTTGTTTAATTATAGACTAGCAGCCTTTGCTGGGATGTCTACATCACGCAGTGTAGAAATTTATATAGTTTGTTTTAGTTAACTTTCTTAGCACTAATTCACTCTTTCGTAGCCAATTGTCGAGCTTGTTTTTGAAGGCATTAACAGAGACAGCAGAAACAACATCTTCCGGTAGTATGTTCCAATTATGCACCACTCTCTTGCTGAAAAAATTGTGTACAACAGGTGTTTTAGAAGTTGCATGGACTAGTTTGAAGTGGTGGCCACATGATAGTTTAAAGTTTTCTTTTGTTTTAAAGATGTTTTGTGTTGCTGGTAGATTGTACTGACTCATTAGAATTTTATAAGTCTCGATGAGGTCACCACAATGGCGTCATTCTTCCAGAGTAGTGAGGCGCAATACAGAAAGTCTCTCCTCATAGGATTTGTTATACTGTACCATGCATGTGCAAAAGTTGTTGTTTATGCTGTTAAATATAACCCTGTGAGGTTGTTAGCATATGAAAATAACCCTGTATATTGACCCCCACCTACGTAAAGTATCATATGTCGAAATTGCCAAGTTTACAGGGGAGTGCATTTCTCAGTGTTATTTGACAAAGCTCATTACTTTAAAACTTGTTCTCGTATAAAACAGAAATGCTAAATTCACGTGTTATACTCATTTCAGTGGACTTAGAATGCTCCCCTGCAAACTCAGCAATTTCGACATATGATGCTTTACATAGGAGGGGTCGATATACAGGGTTCTTTTTCATGTGCTAGCAACCTCGCAGGGCTTTAATCTTAACTTTGTAAACAACTTTTGTTCCATGACTTTTTACAAAACATAATAAATTTACCAAAAAGAAATTTTTAAGTTTTTGTTGTAATATCTTTTATTATAATTATCACTTTTTACATTTGTTTTTGGTAGTAAGGTATGTGCAAGTAAGTGTCCTCCGCGATGACTACCACTCCTGTCCTGCATAGAGGTATTGCTATTGGTATGCATTTAGAGCGTTCTATTTAAATGTTTATTTTTGTATGAAAGTAAAATGATGAATAATTAAAAGTCATGGACCAAAAGTTATTGTTTATGATGTTTATTTAATTTCGTGTTGGAGAACTGACAGACAAACAGTCACTTAAAAAACTAAATAAATTTTCAAATTCTGATGATGAGTTCCCACAAATAAATGTTATAATGTTCATTTATCATGTTACATTATAAATTAATTCATACATACATTTTGACATCATTTATAGTTAATTTTTTTTGTAGTATTCAAATTAGCAAACAGTTAAATGGTCCTAATAAATGTTACAGCCATTTAAAGACATTGGTGACACTAATTTATAAAGAAGTATCCTTAGAAAATTAATTGTGGATCATAGGATATATAAGATGTTAAGTCCTAGAGGAGTTCGTGTGTGGAAACCAGCCTGTTACACCATACCAGGGTTTTAAGTCTGGCTATAATAATAATAGCCTTTATTGCTGATACAATTCAATTCAATTGTTACAGTATACTTCGTTATTAGAAAATACAATTCATTATTAAAAAATATAAAATATCTTTAACCTAGATTAATACTAAAAATAGACAAATAGACAAATTTCCAATTAAAATTAATACTTAAATACTTTCAATATTAATAATTCAAAACATTTTCCTATAATTAAATTACATCCACATCAGCTAGTCTTTCGACATAGGCCTCCTCCAGAAACTTCCAGTCCCGTGCCTGTCGTTGCCAAAATGGCAAGTCTGTCTACACCCAACCCAAAACACAGTAGAGCTGCTTTGTGGTGTAGCTACAGTCTGATGCATTCCCAGGCAGGTTTAGTGGCAGTAGAGCTCCTTTTGAAAGAGTTTGTCCAGGGAAGTTATGCTACCTTACCTATTTCTGCCGCCAAGCATTAATGTGAGCATTTACTGCGTTCTGGTTTCCTAACCAGAATGCAGTTCACAACATCAGTTACACCCTTACCCTTCCTAGGATAAGGGTGTAATTGACATTGTGAATGACGTTGAGAAAGTGAAATTACAGGCAAATGGGACTTGTTAACTTATGTCACAGAATGAATTTTATTTATTTTCAGGCATGTGGTACTTCCAAAAGAGATGGTGAAGCTGGTCCCCAAGAACCACCTGATGTCGGAGTCGGAGTGGCGCAGCATCGGGGTGCAGCAGAGTCAGGGATGGGTGCACTATATGACGCATCAGCCTGGTATATACTTACTTATACATTTATCAAACAAACATTGACCATTGATTTAATGTCTCTTTTTTTTTTTTTTATCAATGTTTGTAATAGGCCTGTAACACTTGGATGTCAATGTCGGCCTTGTGACGTCAATCCCTGTGGATTATTCTACTCTATCATGTCGCCTCATAGTGAGAGGCAATACCTCACATATTGAGTACAGAGTTTTAGTCCTCTTTGCCAACAAGTCATCCAACACAACATTTAATTCCCCAACCTGCCATATATCCCCTAATTGAAATTGGCTTCTTAGAGCCACATAATGGCCACATTCTATTAAATGTAGCATATCTTTAAGTTTGTTACAGAAGTTACATAGCGGAGATTCTCTTTTTATTAGATGGTAGAACTATTCCTTTAAGGAAGGTGGCCAGTACGAAGTCTAAAAGTTAAGAACAATGCGTTTCTAGAAAGTGCGCCGTCCACAAACCAGGGCTTTCGCGGTGGACGCACTTGAACAAATTAATACCAAATTCCTTTCACTGCAGAAATCTCCCCATAGATGTTACTCCACATATCCATATTTAGCTCTCTTACAAATGGCTTAAATGTGTACAGACGCACACATTCGCATAATAATGAATGGCGCGTGAGACGTCCATCGGCATGCCACGCGAATGCGTCGCAAAATTATGCGAATGTGTGCGTGCGCCACTTTGGGCAACGAGAAGCTGGAGAGAGTCAATCAGTACGTCTATCTTGGACATGTTCCATCCTTTGGCAAAGAGCATCAGCCTAAGGTGATCTCAAAAAGGTCCAGCTGGGATGGGCAAGCTAGATGACATCCTTAAAGCAGATAAGATTCCACAGTGCCTGAAGACCCGCTTGTTTAATCAATGTGTTCTGCTTACCATGACGTATGGTGCTGAGACATGGACGCTCATACAGAAGACTGTATACAATTGAAAGTTGCACAGAGGTTGATGACAGGTGCAGTAAGACGTCGACTGATTGGTGGCCGATGACGGGCAAAAGAAGCATCAGGCGCCCAGTTGCAAGGCGGGTGGATGACATAGTACGCGTCGCGGGGCGTCAATGGATGCGGCTAGCACAGGGCCGTGGTGGATGTCACAAACTTCGGGAGACCCAGCAGTGGGTGAAATCAGGCTGTGGATGATGATGATGTGTGTCCGTACAGGGCACGCGACGGGCGCGCACGCATACAAACCGCGCTGCTACGTTTATATACTTATTATACTATATGCTATTACTGCCCAGAGCTAGAGCTTCCAGTGTTAGCACAGTAGGCGTTGATCAGGGCTTTCGAGTATTTAAGATCATTGCGTTGGGCTCTAGCCAGATGTCTCAGAAGGCACATGTGCTTTGGTTGCGAAATAATAATATGAGCCAGGCTGTATTTACATATAGGAGTGTTGTACTTAGGTTGTAGCGAAGGGTGGTACTCTTCATTGGTACTCGTAATGAAGAGTTTGTGGGCGATATAGTACTCCTTGGCCCCATCCGTCCGTCCTTAAGATTTAATAACATATTTATAGCAATACATAGTAGTTTAATAAAATCCGTTTGTTATTTTATTGTTTAATAATTGTCTATTTGTTTCAGAGCCTCATATTCTGCTATTCAGGCGAAAAAAGACAACGCCACCCGAAAAGAAATAGACCACCAAACAAATGTACATGTATAGATCTTCATCAATTAGTTTTAATCTTAGGTTTAGTCAGCCCTCAACAAACTACATTCTTATTAATTCTTAATTATAATTTCTTAACAATTCATAGTCTCTGCTGGGCATGGCTCACGTAAGAAGGCGTTAAACTCCACCACACTTGCCCATTGCATCATGTTATGTTAAATAGTTTTGAAAACTGTTTGTGTTTGTTCTAGCTAGTGGTAACCAAAAACAAGCCTAATTAAAATGTACCGTAATTTTATCATTATACTATTATTAGGGTTATTTCATTGTCTTACAATTATGTGGACGTCGGGTCCGCGCTAAAAAGTGTCCGAACTTATAGGGCGTTAAAATCGTATACAGAGCGTCATTCACGCTTTAGTCTTCATTTGTTCGACTGACAGCGAAGCAAGCAAAATTAGACAGTACTGCGATGACATTAAAATTTAAATTCAACGTTTTAGCTTTTTCATATTCCTTTACATTCACTACGTTTAAATAGGTTGACTTGGGACATTTTTGTATTAGACCCGTCGTCCATTTATTTGTAAGTCAATGGGTTATTTGTAAAATACAGGGCTAAACCTCTAAACCTCTAAACCTCTCAGGACTATAATATTCTATGACCATAAACGACTTTTGTTCTATGATTTTTAATAATTCATCAGATTTTACTTTCGTACAAAAATAAAAATATTAAAACAGATTGCTCTAAATGGTGATCCCACTGTGTTGCAAGAAAAGGTAGACAGTACTCTGGAGGCCTTGCTAAAAGTACAGATTTAAAAAGTGTCAAAAACTTGTTTGTTTTTGATATAGATTTATCTTTTTTTATCTTTATTTTGATATAGATATATTGAGACGACACCCGTCAATTGTTTCGAATTCGGGCTGGCCAATCGGAGCGCAGTTGTCACCGTAATGATTGGGCAGAATAGTTTTCAAACAAATTAAATGACATTTTATCACTATTCTGGTTATACACTCAATATTTACAAATAACTCTGTAGACATTTATCATAAGCTATTAATATAATTCTCAATGGTTTCTCTACAATTTTCATCCAGTCTGCCTTTTCATATATGCAAGTAGCTTTCGTGTGGGTTGCCAGTGGAATTTTTATTTGTATGGAGCTGCAAGTGTGGCGGCAAACGAATTTTAATTCTTGCAAAAATGAAATTCGCTGCAAACTGGAAGAGAGCAATTCATATTAATTGATTATATTTCACCTGGAAGTGGAATTGTTGAACATTGTTAAATCAAAATCTCACCTGCAAATGTATATTTTTTTAATATTCTTATAGATTAATGCTAATTTTAACATTTAGAAAGTTTTCTTAACAAGTTTGTTTGGGGCTATTGGGTTTATGATCTTCATTCCATAATCTAAGTTTTCTCTTGTTTTAGTCATTAATATGTAAGATATTCCATCAAGTGCCCTTAGAATAGTGATAACTTCTTCACAGTTGTGTATTTGGTAATTTTATAAAACATGCAAACCATATTATTGTTGTTACATTTTTATAGCTGATGTTAAAATCTGATGGTGATGGATGAATATTATGCAGAAATTAGAATAGTCAAGAGTATATTTACGTAACTTAAGTAATACATAAAGTGAACAATACGACTGACATTCCCGAATGAAAAAAAAATATTTTGGGTAATTTTCCGAAAGTTCAAGTAGTCATTTTTCAAAAAAATAAAGAAAAATATAATTCAAAGACTTGTATTGTCTACATTTAGATACATCTTTAAAGTTTTATTTAGCATGATTTATAAAATAAAATTGTATAAATTTGTATAAACTAAATGTAATTTTCTAAACCTTCACGTCACTTTAAAATGTGAAAAAATATTTTTCAAAGTGGAATTTTTTCCGTAACCCAACACTACTTACAATTACAAAATTTTGTAATATGCTACTGTTGCATAATAACTGCTAGTTACATGTCAAAAATGTAGAATAAAATAGAATAATTTGGGATATCATGGGAAGTTATCCACTATGCATATAACTTACTTGACCTCGCAAGGCAATATATTCTACTTATACCGATTCTAATCTCTGTTAAGAAGTAATATAGCACACATTGGAGCATTGGATTTTACTATCACCATTTGTAATAATTTTAATAGAAATAGGAATTTCATGCATCATTCTCATAAGCACCAATTCTTTAAAGTGCCAAATTGTAAATAATTATTGGTATATGCATTAATTGGAAACATTTGTTTGGTGTCTTGTTGTTGGGAATCAGAATCAGTACAAATAAATTATTTGGTGCTACCTGTGTTGTATTTTATGTCCTAACACATAATTTTTCCTTTTATTTTCGTAAAAACTTTTACTAATTTTAAAGTGGGCATCATCACCTATACAAATTTATTAGATAATCTAAGTTAGTAGTAGCAGTGCTCCGTGTGAGAGGAGTTCATCCAGGGAAGTACTGCCACCTAATCTATTTCTGCCTCCAAGCAGTAAATCATATAAATTACTGCATTCCAGTTTGGAAGGGTAAGGTTGCTGGTGAAATTGCAGGCAGATGGGACATGTCAATTTATGCCTTAGGGTGACAGGCGCAGTGATAGTGCTCCTCAGATCTTTGCAATTTAAAGCTCATGTCATGGATAGGCGTGAACCTTACCACCAGGTGCACAACTTGTTTGTCCGGTGGCTTGATATAAAAATGTGTATTACAAATCACATTTAGAATGTATTTATTTATTTTCTCTTTTTCTTAGCACTAGGTGATAAAGAGGGCAAAGGCAACTTAGTTGTTTCTGCTTGAGAGAAATCCATTGTTTCTACTTTAATATCATCTGTAGACACAGTGTCCAGAAGTTCGAGTCCTTGAAGTTGTTCTTGTTCTAAACTATGTAGCATTTGAAATCCTGGCTCTAGTGAAGGCGTGTATGAATCTAATGCAGCAGGAAAGTGTAATTCAGGTACTTCTTCCAGCTTCAATTGAGGAGCAATGTCTCCTACCGCTATTGCTTCACAATGGGCTCTCAAATCTTCACATCGTTTCTTTATCTTTGCATGATATCGTACAATACGATTTTCGTGGAATTCATGCAGGTTCCCAACATTTAAATCTGCAAACACTTTTGATATTGCATCAGGAAAACCTGATTTTATACCGCTCGCTTCTCTGTCAACTACTGTTCTCAATAATTTGCACATATTAGTCATGTAAAAATCCAGAGCGTCTGTGACGCCGTTCAAAGCTGTGTTGGTGCAAGTAGGGATACCCACGTGACCTATAGCTATAGCTGCGCATTGTCGCAACGCTCGTTTGTGACTTTCAGCTGTAAACGGCAATATGACAGGTCCTTTGCCTAACGAGAAGTCACAGTATTGTTTTTCGAGGTAGTTTATAGATGATCTTATCTCGTGTTCCATTTTTAAAGGAGGATCTGGCGGGATTTGCGGTAAAATATGTGGATCTAACCGGGAGCCTTCAAACACCGAGTTCTCAGTCTGGTCAAGAATTGCAGTCAACTGTCTAATGCAAGCGTGAAGTTGGATAGTGTGTGTGATTAAATTTGCTTTCGGAAGCTCAATCGGTGAAGACTGAACTGTGATAGGGATTTCAGGAATATTCTGCATGCCCAGTTCGATTATAGGATTGAAGTTCACGATTTGTAGTACTGAATCATCGCCACAGTCGTCTTCAAATTCACCCCAGAGCTTTCTTGTGTTCATTTTGAAAACAACAATTGGTTTCTTTGATTAATTTTGTCGATAAATTAACGAAACGCTCTTCTTCTTCTTCTTTTAAATGTTATGGCTCCATCGAAATAATCAATGATTTACGAAACGAAACGCTCAACGTTCTCTAATGTGCTGTCAGTTGATGTTTGACATTTTGACCAAAGAGGATCTAATTTTGACATTGACATTATTAGTTTTAATTTTGGAACTAGAGGTTGGCATATAAACAGAAAGTACTTAAAAAAGTCTGCTTTTTAAAATAAGCGCAAAAGCACGCTTTTCATTTTAAGCGTTAGCGTTGGTCACTGGTCAGTTCTATACATACTCAACAATTTCATTTTTTACAACGTGCCTAAGTTTCAAGTAGCGCCATCTATGTTTCCTAAACAAATTGATTCAACATAACGTTGCATGCTTTTTTCTCAAGCAAAGTCTATGTATGCGCTTAAACATTTTTCTAAACGACTTTTTAAGCGTCAAACTAAAAAGCGTTTAAGTGAAAAGCGCTTTTACAACATTGACTTACAAATAAATGGACGACGGGTCTAATACACAATACATATTTAAACGTAGTGACATGTAAAGGAATATGAAAAAGCTAAAACGTTGAATTTAAATTGTAATGTCATCGCAGTACTGTCTAATTTTGCTTGCTTCGCTGTCAGTCGAACAAACGAAGACTAAAGCGTGAATGACGCTCTGTATACGATTTTAACGCCCTATAAGTTCGGACACTTTTTAGCGCGGACCCGACGTCCATATAATTGTAAGTCAGTGTTTTACAAACACGCTTTTTAACGTTAAAAAAACAAGCAGTTTTTTCCATTTCAACGGTTAACACCTACAAAAGTTAAACAACTTATGTTTTTGAACGTTTTTAAACGCTAATGAACAAAATGTTAATATAAAAATGTTATGTCATAAATAAAAATATAACTCGTTTTTTACAAAAAAGCTTTTTTTTTATAAAAAATAAGTGCGCATTTGACCTCCATCTCACCTGATGGAAAGTGACGATGAGGTCGAGGATGTAGCATGCACACCTAAATAATACCTATTCACTCTCACCTTGAAAAGGTTCAAGTTATAGCGTTAGGGGAACAAGTCTGCAGGCAGGGAATTCCACTCCCTTGCCGCTCGCCATACAAATGTGGAAACGAAACGCTTCGTGCTCATCCGGGGAATATCCACAACATATGGGTGGAACCTCCGCTAACGTCCAGTCTCCCGATAATGGAAAGGGGAAGGCGGAATCAAATTATGCAATTCCATCGCACACTCTCCGTGACATGTCCTGTAGAATACCGATAAGCTGGCCACTCTGCGGCGGTGTTCAAGGCTCTGCAGCTTCGCCTCTACTAATTCCGAGTCACGTATAAGCCTCTTAGCACGCTTGTCTATTGAATCCAAGGGGGCCAGTTGCTATTTAACAGAGCCGTCCCATAAGTTGCAGCAGTACTCTATACACGACCGGACTTGTCCTTGGTACAGCTGAAGCAACTGTCCCGGTGTGAAGTAATGCCTCACCTTGGAAAGGTTCCAAGGTTCTTGGCTGCATTTTTGGCCATGGATTCAATGTATCTGCCGAAGTTCAGATTAGACGACAGGTCCATTCCAAGTAGGTGAAGACGGTCGGCTATCGGTATGGATATATCACGAAAAGTTGGAGTCAGCTCAAAGGGACTCCGTTTTGTGGAGAATAGACACGCCTGTGTTTTGGTAGCGTTAAATTTGACAAGATTAGTATTGCCCCAATCGGAGACTGCTTGGAGTGTCAAATCTAAACGAATAACCATGGACTCTCGACAAGACTGGATTTCTTCTCCACTGACCCTTGCATTGGTCAAGTACCTGTCCACAACTGCGCTGTCATCAGCATACCCAAAGGTACCTGGAATCAACATATCCTTTATATGCATGCAGAAAGAGGGTTGCGGACAGTACAGAACCCTGAGGAACTATCGCCCGATGTTCGGAAGAGTAGCCTTCTAAGATCACTCGAATCGAACGTACACTCAAGAAATCTGAAATCCAATTGCAAAGGTCAGTGGGAAGCCCACAAGAGGGAAGCTTGCTTAAAAGGCTTGCGTGCTAGACCCTGTTAAGGGCCTTAGAAATGTCTAAAGACATTCGCCATGCCCTTCTATAGCCTCGCTCCACAAGTGAGAGGCGTACACAAGAAGATCCCCGGTGGATCGCCCTCTTCGGAATCCGTACTTACTTACTATCTTAAAACCTTTAGGCGATTAACACACTGTACCCCGCCCCGCGACGGTGCGCGAGACGCGGAATCACGCGCGCGGTAGCGAAGACGCAGATCTGTGTCAACGCGTGGTTTAACCTGCGCGGGGGCAGCGGATAGCGGCACCGCGCCACTCAAAGTACTCGCTTCGTAGATGATCGCCGTAGTGATTGCACATGTAGCTGAGATCCTTCTTTAACAAGAATGGTTAATAATACAGAATTCATTCAGGACGCTGCAGTTATACTGTCGATTGTTTTTATTTACTCAAATAAGACACCGAAGGTAACATTCAACTTCATTACAAAGATTTAAGAAAATAATTGAAGATTAATTTTTCAACTACACACGAATGTCAACTGAATCCTTTGATTATTTGTTAGGGAACATCCGAACGACAATTACTGGAATAGACACAAATTGATTAAAAATCTTCACTCTCTTTCGAGTCTTTGACCAGTGTGTGTTGCCAGTGATCACATATGGATCAGAAACGTGGTCCCTCACTATGGGCCTCATAAGAAGGCTCAAGGTCACTCAGCGGGCAATGGAGAGAGCGATGCTCGGTATTTCCCTGCGTGATAGAATCAGAAATGAGGAAATCCGTAGGAGAACTAAGGTAACCGACATAGCTCGAAGAATTGCTCAGCTGAAGTGGCAGTGGGCGGGGCACATAGCTAGGAGAACCGATGGCCGTTGGGGCGGAAAGGTTCTTCAATGGCGACCGCGCACCGGACGACGTTCAGTGGGTAGGCCCCCCACCAGGTGGACCGACGATCTGGTGGAGGTCGCGGGAAGCCGATGGATGCGGGCAGCGCAGGACCGATCGTCGTGGAGATCGTTGGGGGAGGCCTATGCCCAGCAGTGGGCGTCGTATGGCTGAATGATGATGATTAAAAATCTGAGCGGTAGTGCGGAGCGCAGAGTGCCATACCCTGCGGCTCGCCGCGCCCGCGCGGAGAAGCGTTGTCAATGTTTTCAACGGCGCGTGTTTTCCGTACAAACTGAGGTACTTCAGTCAACGTTAAAAAACGCAGCTCAGCGCTCTGTCGCGGGGCGCGGTGCAGTGTGTTAATCGCCTAAGTGGTCTACTCTTGTGTTTCGCCATGAACACGACGTTGCAAGCTTTTTTTAAACATAAAAGTCTATGCGCTTAAACGTTTTCTAAACGTTTTTGTTAGCTTCAAACTAAAATGCGTTTAAGTGAAAAAGCGTTTAAAAAAGTACCTTTAAACGTTTAAAAAATAACCAGTTTTTCCCATCTCTATTTAGAACAGTTCTTAGAGATGGCAAAAACGGCTGTTTGTCAATAATTATTAACAGTATACTTAATTATGAATTAATTATACTGCAAGATGGACCGACGATCTGAAGAGGGTCGCGGTTAATGGTTGGACGCGGGAAACGGGTTGTCATTGGTTGGTCGATAAAAGTGCCCGATCCACTATGGCGTACACTTGGGGATGCTTATGTCCAGCAGTGGACTGCAATAGGCTGATTGGTATACTGTTATGCGATTTTTCAAGAACTGTTATCGTAAAATGTTGTCAGAAAACCTGTTATTCTGCTGTTTTGTAGTTTTGCATTCAGTATGACAATGAGCAGGGAATGAATATTGTGTAGTGTTGCCAGATGGCTAAATTTCTTATATTTTTCGTAACTTTTGATCTTCTCGCGTAATACGTAAACGGTTTTTGTTTTTAAGGCAATTTTCGTAACTTTTGAGGGAATCCAAACTACGAGTATATTGCCTATTTAACTTCCTCCGTGGCCGAACGGTTACCGTGCCGGACTGCCCCACAGAGGCCAAAGGTTCTAATCCCGGGCCGGAAGAAATATTTGTTAGGCCATACAAATATTTATTTCTCTCGTGAGTCCTGGATGTAATTTGTGGTTGTTTATGTGTGTGTCCATGGCACCCGCGACACAGGGTGACCCTAGTGTGGGGCTATGTTGAGTATGTGCGTTATTATTATTTGTTATTGTAAATCCTAAATAGTTTACAAATGCACCTAAATGAGACAAAAATTGACTTATATGGTGTTTACAAGATGTAATCAATCAAATAGGGGGAAGCGGTGCAGTTTGATACAGAGGGCACATTCATACACCTGCATCTCCATACCCTCAAACATAATATTGGTTGTGATAATACTAAAACGTGCCTTTGTACGTGTGAGTAATAGACATGCGATGATGCAGCTCACCAGTTAGCCGTTGTCGTTCGACAGGTCACAAAGTGTTTTCACAGCCGTTGACTAAAAAAATAAGCGACACAACTACGAGTGCCACTGCAGTTTTGTTCACTTTACAGGGTTTTATGTCTTAATACATGGTAAACTAGCGTTTCCAATAATTATAATTGCATGTGACTTCGAGAGAATATATAAAGATTTTTTAAAATATTTTTTTTTCTAAACTGGCCGGTGGGGTACTTTTATACACTAGTGAATGCGGCTGTTTGGTACGTATCAAAGTGCTCCTATTAGTTATTTTGTACGAAAGATCTAGAACTGTTTCTACAAGTTATTGTAAAGAGGTGAACTAGTGTCAGCTCTTCCTCCTGTATTTCTAGTTCCAAGACTACATTACAAAGAACACTTTTCAAATGGTGCCCTAGAAAGAAGTCTTGATCTAGCATGTGCTGAGACACATATAGCGTCATACTTTGTGAACAGTTGATCACCTAGTGCTGACAGTACGTGGCAACGAGGAATGGCACTCTACCTTGATTCACACATCTAAGTGC